CACTCCTACTTTCTGTCATCTAGTCAGGAACATTGTCCCTACTTCCCTTCCCACTTCCAGTCATGCAGCCTCTCCCCTCTCCTGAACCATCACTGGCTTTCTCTCCCTCCCTCTTCCAATATTATGTGAGTGCTGTCAAGTGCAGCAAATGCTCAGTTGACAAAGATAAAGAAAGTGGCACTGGAGATTTTCAAGTGTTCTTAACGAAATCAGGTTTAGTCAAGTTTTCAAAACTTAAATTTTATAAACTGATAAACACGGCTTGTTTCCCTATCAAAGTGTTGCTTTTGATGTAATCAAAAGTTTTTGTGCAATTGTGTCTATTTTGATATTTTATTTTAGAAAAAAGTTATAAAAAATCTTTTGTTTCAAAACTCCTCCTTGTGGTGAAATGACCTTGCTTCTGTTTCAATGTTAAAAGTTTTATATAAAAGAATTTCAGATTTTATAAAAATGAAATGGTTTTGGATCAAACAATGTTTTTAAAACTTAGAGTGGTAAGAAAACACTTTCACATTCTTGTTTTTTTCCCCTTCCTGATTCAGGATAAAAGAGAAGATTCTTGAATTTTTGTTTGCAGGACAGAAAAATCCATTTTATGTGCAGAACTGCCAACCAGTCTTATCCTCTGCCTTTGCTCTGTGTTAATTTCACCTCACTGTTCTGTTGTTTTCTACTCACAACCTGACATGCAGTTCATACCTGATTACCTAGGCTACGTACAGATAGCCACAATGCTGATGACTGAATTGATTCAATCTTTGCAGGTTAGTCTATAAGCTGTATAGGTTGAACTGATATAGCAAGTGAACAGATATATTTGCTTTTGATCCTGGAAATGCAGCTCTATGCCTGCAGTGGTCCAAGCCAGAAGCCAGGAGGCACTAGAGCATGGCTCCCTGCTTGGCTGGAGCAGACAGATTGGGCCAACAGTAGCCCGCCCAACTTGTGAATGGGGTGGTTTGTGAGAGAGATGAAAAGCATCCTGGAATGCTAGGGAACTGTGAGTTAACTTGAATTTGGAGGGGATCTGGGGCAGAAGTTCAATAAGCCAATTTAACCTAAATCAGTTAAGTCTGATACTCCATCCATCCAGGCTTATCTTAAACCAGTTTTGGGCCATTTGGAAGCAGTTTATGTGCGCTGAACTTCTGTTGTGTTACAGATTTGAATTAGCTTCCGATCACTTATACTGTTTTATGTAACTTCTGGCCCTAGCCCTAGAGCTCTTTGCCCTCTGATTGTTTCCGTGTATTGCTCAGATGCTTGGGATATTCCTTTTCTACTGGTAGCTGGGAGCTTCAGGCCCCTTGGTTCTTGGCTCCTGCTTACTTCAGCAGCCATGACCACTGATGAGCTACGTAGGTTAGCTCTTCTCTTCCATCTGCTTTTGTAGGTTTTCAGGCTCCTCTGCATTAAAGTACTGTCCTTTGGGCTCTCTCAAAGCCCAGCCCTGGCCACCTGGTGCTCTGACC